TGACCTGGGCTTATGGAAAAGGAACAGTTAATAAAGAAGAGCATCAAGACAGCAACGAGGTGTAGAGACCCACAGGGGACAGAGACGGTTGTCCAGATAACCTCATCCCTGGACGCATCCTGGATCCTGGACTCCCTCCTTTGCTGTGTTCCCCTAAGATCTCTGTCTCCTCCTTTGCTTGGGAAAAATGAAGGGAGTCTCTAGTCTTGCACCAGAAGTCTCTGCTAACAGTAGGAAGTTGTTTGTGTGTATATGTGCACACGTGTGTGCATGCAAAGGGAAGGCTTAACGTTTTCTAGGTGGGCGAGTTAAATGACTTTTGCAATCCTTTACAAAGTCGGCTCTGCAAATGAGTGTGCTGTCAAGAGCATTTTTTGGAATCTCCAATCAACTGCAAATGATGGCAGTCTATTATCATGGGAGGCTCTCAGAGTGGTTAAGAATGGGGGCTCTGGGACTAGCCTGCCTGGTACCCACTGTCTTGGGGACACACAGCCAGGAAGCAGGAAGGCTGGAGTCAGCCTACAGTCCAGCTGGAGCCAGGGAGACCCCTTTGGCAAGAAGTGCAGTTGTGCTGCCTGTTCCCTGTTAATCTCTCTGCTAAAAGCTATATGCTCTGAATCTGTGGTCCCCAACCCCCAGGCCACAGAGCTCCACCACTAACCCCTGTGCCCCATCCATGGAAAAACTGTCTTCCATGAAGCTGGTCCCTGGTGCCAAAAATGTTGGGGACCGCTGCTTTAAATGACATATCTAACATTTGTGTGCCTAGCACTGTGCCAGGTACTTTAATATGTTTCTGCCTTTAATCTGTATATGTGCTCTCCAAGAGGGGCACTATCAAATGAGGTGAGAGGGTCAAGAGACTTGTCCAAGGTCACGCAACTGGGATTTGAGGCAGAGCTGCTTGACTCCAGGACCTGATCTGCTGCCCGCACAGCACGCTGTGGGTACTAATTCATGGAGTCGCCAGGTGCCTCTGTGGCTCTGGGTGGTAGGAGGACACGTCCCCATGCCACACCCATGAACCCCACAGTGTCGTGGGTACCAGCATGGACGCTGTGGGGATGGATGAATGATGAATAAAGATTTTTTTCCTCCTCTGCTATTTCCTTTTTTTATTTTTTTAACACTGCATGATAAATTTACTTCGTAATGATTTTTGAGTAAACTACAATGACCACAATTTCAAAATCATTAATAATTCATGACCAAGGGCCATAAACACTATATAATCTCCACAGGCAGGAACCATGAATACTCGTTAGGGATGAGGCTGAGAATATTTTTACCGGCTGAACTGAAAATATCTACCAACTTTAAGCCAACCTCTAAAAGCTACATTTTCCAGAAGTGACAGAGACCCTTCCATTATCTCAGTTCAGGACGCCTCTTCTGAGAACTCTTCTCTCCCTCCTCTGGCACCCGCTGGAGCTTTATCTGGGGCTCCTCTGTGATGTTTGTCATTCTCTTCTTTGATGTGTGGCTACTGGCATCTGTGACAGGGTAGGGAACCGAGGTGCCCCCGGGGCCAGGCAGGCCATGCTCGGCATGCAGCGTAGCCCCAGGGCCCAGAGCAGGGGCTACCCGGGTGAGTGCTGCACGGATGAGCACTGGGGCTCACCCATGGCTGCACTTCAGAACCACTTGGGGGGATTGCAAAATTCTGATGCCTGGCTAGCACCCCCAGAGGTTACTGACTTAACTGGCTTGGAGGCCTGGACAGCAGGTGTTGGGGGAGGGCAGGGATGGCAAATTAGGGGGCCTCCATCTAACAGGGACGGACCTACTAACAACAGCCATTGGCCACTGGTGTCATTCTCCATTTTTCCAAAGAAGCCGGAAGTCTGCATTTTTATGTGAATGGTGGACACCTAATTTTTAGAAATTATAATAGGGTATGGGCCAGATACAACACATCTTTGGGCTGAACTTGGCCTGGCAAGCTCACTGAGAGCAGTCCCACCCTCCCTTTGCTGTGTCAGCCTGCACAACCTCACCACCAAAGGAACATGAAGCGTGTCCCCAGCTGCTCTCTCCAACCAGCCCTGGGAAAGAGATGGCTTGTCTTTTCCCTGCCTTTCGTGGTGCTATAGCCTGATCTATACCTGGCATCCTGTGTAAGGCACGCAGTGCCAGGAAGCCCAGATTCCACAGACGAGAGGGGGAGGGATGCAGAAAGATGGGGTAGGTGGAAAAGCCAAGTTATAATATATCAGATGAGAGTCCTAGCAGCTTGCTAGTAGTTTTTTTTCTATTGTTTTCCTAACCAAACAAAAGCCTCATTGAGAGAGTCAGCACCTTCTTTTTCAGAAGGCCTGAAACCATCTTAAGTATCTTTCAGGGTTAAGCCTGGGTATTGTGGTAAACAGTTTCACTCTCCATTTTCTCTCACCTGGAGCACTTTTCAGAAGAGGAATGATGTGAAATGCTTTCAGGCGACCAGCATGATGCGAGTTGCCACAAAAGTGGCAGTTAGGGAAGTCCTATTGCCAGCAAGACAAAGAGAGACAGAGACAAGGGCAGGGTATCTCAACTAAGTTCTCCACTGTCTTGCTTTGTTGTTTCCCAGCTAATTTCTCTCTCTCTCTACTTTTTTGTTTTTTTGCTTCTTGCTTTTTTGTAAAGATGGGATCTCCCTGTGTTGCGCAGGCTGGTCTTGAACTCCTGGCCTTGAATGATCCTCCCACCTTGGCCTCCCAAAGCGCTGGGATTACAGGCATGAGCCACCGTGCCTGGTCCCCAGCTAATTTCGTAATGTGGGTAAATGGGATGCTGCTATTCTGTGACCAAAGGCCTGGGGTCAGTTTAATTGATTCATTATTCCTGGCTTGGGGACTGGGCTCTCCCTTGGTCAAAGAACTGAGGGAGGCCTGCAGAACTGAGGGAGGCCTGCAGGCCTGCGCTCACTGCTACTCCAGCTCCTCCACCTCAGGGTCTCCGGAAGGACTTTGTGGGAAGGCAGACACCTACTCCAGCCTACAGAAGAAAAATCCTTACCAGAGGCAGTGGGGAAATCCACCCTGGCTCAGCCTCTAGACTGCGCACTTGAGCTGACATTTAGATCTGTTCAACAGCACCAGAGTTCCTAAGGCTTCTCCCCGCCCTCCTCCCAGGTAAGAAATACCCACACTGCCTGTCGTGGCTACAGCTGAGAAAGGAAACAACAGGAGAGAGGGTGGACGTCCTTTGCAGACCACTCCAACATACCCCCTCGGAGCTGGTTGAGAGCCGGGAGATGGAAGGAGACGACAGGCTGAGTCCTGTTGGCATTTTGGAGCCCCTGGACCCAGCTAAGCCTGACAAATGCCCTTTTGTCATTGGAATTACGTCGCTTTATAATAAAAAGGGTCAGTACATAAATGTTGATGAATTTCAGAACTGGTCAATGATATAGTTAGGATATTTGGCCCCTCCAAATCTCATGTTGAAATTTGATACCCAATGTTGGAGGGGGACCCAGTGGGAGGTGTTTGGGTCATGGGAGCAGATCCCTCATGAATGGCTTGGTGCCCTCCCAGTGGTAATGAGTGAGTTCTCGCGCCATTAGTTCACGCGAGAGCTGGCTGCTTAAAAGAGCCCGAGCTCCCCCTCCTCTCTCTCTTGCTCCCTCTCTCGTCATGTGACACGCCTGCTCCCCCTTCGCCTTCTAGTCATGAGTGGAGGCTTCCTGAGGCCGTCATCGGAAGCACATGCCGGGACCATGCTGCTTGTACAGCCTGCAGAACTGTGAGCCAAATAAACCTCTTTTCTTTATCAATTACCCAGCCTTAGGCGTTCCTTTATAGCAACGTAAAATGGACTAACATAGTCAATATTTCTGATGATCCACACAGCTTCGCTTCCCTGCACTCCTGCACCCATCTGCCACTATATCAGACTCATATTTAACTCCCATGAGCTTGGGACTTGATCAAAGAGCCCTGTGGTAACCTGTGGGTCCTTGCTACCACTGTCCACCCGCCTTAGGCTCAATGATCTTGCACCTTTCCTTATTTATGTCTCTCTGACTTTGGCCACACTGTTTCCTTGGCCTGGAAAACTTCCAGTCACACTTTAGGAGACAGCCTGCACGTCGCCCTTTCTGCAAAGCCTTTCTTGATACGACTGGCAGAGGTAGGTGGCCTGGTTTCTGCATTAAAATCCCACTTTCTCTGTCCTGTGATGGCACTTCTCACACTGTATTGTGATGATCACGTTGCGCCTCTCTTCCAACTAGACAGTGCCTGCCCTGAGACCGAGGACTGTGTCTTACCCATCCCCTAATCCCAGTCCCCTGGATCCTGGCACAGAGCAGGTGGGGTCCATGGGGAAGGTTCCAAGAATGGCTACAATATTATTATGTAGCTCTTCCCATCAAGAGATGATGCCTATTTTCCCACCCTTTGAATCTGGGCTGACCCTGTGACCTGCTTTAAAGAATAGAAAGTGGCAGAAGTGACACTGTGCCGGTTGTAAGCCTAGCCTAGGACTCAAGAGGTCCTGCAGCTGCCACTCCCGTACTCTTGAACCCCTGAAGCACCACGTGAACAAGCCTGGCTAGCTTGCTGGAGGATGAGAGGGCATGTGGCGGAGAACTGAGGTACCCTGAGTGACACTCAGCTAGCCCCCAGGTGACATAGGCATCAACTGCAGGTGCATGAGTGAGCTCCGTGCAGAGCCTGAGATCAGCAGAGCCTGGCCCGTCCTGGAACTGCCCAGATAGGCCCAAACTGCTAATGCAAAGAATCGGGAGCTAAATGCATGGTTGTTGTTTTAAACCACTAAAATTTGGGGTGACTTGTTACACAGACAAAGCTAACTGATACGCTCAGTAAGAGATGATTATCACAAGTGACACTGGGTTGAAAGTCTAGTTACCAACTAGCATTTGCTCCAGGATTCAAGCTTGGGACTCCAAGAGAAAAAGAGTAGGAGATCCAGGAATACTCATGCACCGCCCTGTCCCTCGGGTCCTTTCAGAGTTGCGTCCCAGCAGCCCTCACCAGAGACACACTTACCTCCTTTTTCTCCCGTGAGCAGGACCGGCTTCTGATGGCCTTTCGCAGAGTCTGACCTGCAGCGGTTCAAAAGCAGAATCGGAGATGAAGGCTGTTTTGGAACAGCTAGTTGATCACTGCAAAAGCTTTTTATTTGCAAACGGAATAGATGGGACCAATCATAATCAGACGATTTTAAGAAAATGCAGCCTATTATTATAATGGGAAAATGGCACACTTTTGAAATAGTCCAACAGCAAGGAAAATGGTAATTCACACACGTTATTTGACTATAATGAACAAGGCTCCAGCCCTTTAATCTGGAACATTATCTGTACTCTGAAAGGGCCGATGGACTGTAGTTTTCCCAGTTGAATTACATTTTTATTAAATTGTTTGGAATTTTATAAAATGCCTTCCACAAAAATGCCTTCCACTGTGTGCATACACAGAACCTTTGATGAGTGCGTACCAATGTGTGGTACCAACCCCCCAAATTCACCACATAGGTGACAGTGCAGATGTGAATTAGCTGTAATCACCCGCATTTCACATAATGGGCAATTTCAGAGAGAATTGTTGCTTTTCTCAGAAAGCTAGAAAACTAACATTTGAAGGTATGCATAAATTCAACAGACTGACATCATAATGTTTAAATATGCTGTTTCAAGTATAGTTTTCACAACTTTTATGGAAGTGTCCATTGTGAAAGAATCCCTTGATGGAAAATTAATGGGTTTCTTTGGCTTTAAAATATAAAACAGGAATCACTGCACATTTTAAATGTATCCCCCAAACTGCCCAGCTTCGGTCCCAAATGGCTACTTGTGAGAATGCCACAACCACGTGTCCCATTAGGTAAGAAAACCCAGAAGGCAGGAGCAAAGGTGGGGACGGAGTCTCAGAGAAAAGATGTTCATCTTTGGATACGGTCACTTTCAGTGGGTCTATATGCAAATGGGGGTTGGGAGAGGTCATAGCTGGTGACAAGGCTCAAAGTAGGATGCTTTTTCCAAGAAAGTATGAATGAGGGGAAGAGCAAAGGCCCAAGGATGAACCTCTTGCAATGGCCAAACTCTGGGGCCAATATATGTTAATAATATTAATATAAAAGGATTTAGAAAAGAGGCCACTAAAGAATTTATAGACTATGGATTATACAGTATCATGGAATGGTAGACAGCTTTTGGATCATCTGCTCAGCTCATAATGACACCCTAAACTGCCCTCTTCTCTCTTTCTCTCCTCTCTGGTCACAGGGTGGGCCCCAGGGCAGACATATCTACACATGACCCCACACCTCGAACCTCAGTTTCCTGCACTAGGGATGGACCATTGACTCAACTGTAGCCAATCAGAATCCCAGACCCAGGAATTAATTTGGAATTGCTTCTGAGTGCCAGAGAGGAGAAAGGGGCAGGGCAGGGCTTATCTCCCTGTGTGAGCTTTGATGCCAGCCTTTGGGCAGACTAACATAGAAGGCCAGGATGCCAGGACAGAATGAACTAACCTTAAACTGACTGCATGCCTGCCTTTGTGTTCCACAGACACCCACTTATATCTAGTGTGTGTGTGTGTGTGTGTGTGTGTGTGTGTGTGTGTATGTGTTTTCTTTTTTGCCTGAAGACAAAGAACTTAGGATTTAGGGATGAAAAGGAGTACCCAGGACAATGTACCACTGTGGTGTGGGGTGTTGATTGTGGGGGAGATTGTGTATGGGGACAAGGTGTATATGGGAATTCTCTGTACTGTCTGCTCAAATTTGCTGAAAGCTCCAAAAAATAAAGTTTATTAATTAAACATTAAAATACATACATACACACACACACACACACACACACACACACATATATATATATATATATATATATATGGCCCCAGGATTTAGGGATCAAGAGATCTGGTTGTTGAGCCAATTTTATCATAACCTCCCAACCCCTGTTGATCTGGAGTAAGAACTAGAGTGAGTGCTCCCTGGAAACCCTTGACCACACATGCCATCAGTCTAAGGATTCCGAGTGGGCCCTATTGCTAGTCAGAGTGGATGACACACCAGGTAGGCCACGCAATGCATAGCCAGGAGATGGACCCTGAGCTGGAAGGGACAAAGTAGGTTTGGGTCGGGGCTGCGAATAGACCAGGGTGTCCTAGCAGTGGAAGCAGTGACAGTAAGATGCCAGCAGAGCCCCGCAGGACCCAGAGCAAGGGTAGGGTGCAGGAGGGAGCAGAGCTACTCAAGGGGCGAGACTGGCAGACCCCAGAGTCTGGCTGAGGCCCTTGCTTTGCTGACTACACAGTCTCCGGGGGATGGCTGGTCCTCACAGACAGCTGACCAGCTAAGGGACCTTGGATAAATCATAGCATCTCTTTGGGCCATAGTCTCCTATTTTATTTTTTTAAATACGAGTGAGGCTGAATTATCTCTATGTTTGCTTTTCATCTCTAAAATTATGTCATACCAATAAATAACAGTTAAAAAAATTAAGGTGGACTACAAAAATAAAATATTAACATAAAGAATAATACAGAGCTTACCTACTGAAATTTGAGAGCAAATCGTTCTATTAGAGTTAATTAGAAGCTTCTTTATTCATTAAATTGTAAAATAATTTGCTTATTTTCTAACAAAGATAATTTGTTCAATTAAGAGCCATTTGTTATCTAAACTCCCTAGCAGACTGGTTGGCCCCATCCTCACATCACTGAACCTCTTTTTCTCCTCCAGGTAACTCCATGAGGAGACAGCTCCTTCCTGCCAAGGACACAAGTGCTATGACCAGGTAACACTGCGCCCGTCTACTGCAGTTAGCTTCTCGGAGTATCCTACCTATATCTCATTTATTTTCACAACTCAGGGAGGGAAGTGGAAGAAGGTGACATTAATATCAATATATGCCACTTGCAAAATTAAGGGGGTGTTACTCTGTATTTTGCAAGGTGACCTGCCTGCTTCGGCTACAAAGCAATAAGTAGGGCCAAATGTAAATGATACGTGTGTACTTCACTTTATAGAACAGATGTGTGCCTGGGGAAAAGAAAAAAAATTGAAGTGAATGCATCGAATTTTTGTAACTATAATACTGTTCTCCCATTATTATTTAAGAAAGGTTTTATCTGCACTTAGGATTTATTTTCAATGGTTAGCAGATTCTGCTACTTTAGTTTTACTTTGCTCTAGATGCAGATAATATTCATCGCTACCATTTAGAGGGGAGTTTCTGAAGTCGTCGGGCAAGGGAAAATCAGTGCCAAAATTACCCTTGAAAAAGTATCTTAAACCACCCGTAAAGTATAGTCTGCAGGACACAGCTTTTTTATCCATTGCTGTAGGGTAATATGCATGTGTAATATTTGATGCACATGGAAATGTATAGTACATGATAAAAATACATATGCAAAATATAATTTTATGTTATTTCTAATTAAAGTATTCATATTGTAATGACTCCCTCTATTTTTCCTCTTCAGGTGGGAGGAGAGTGGTGGTGGGAGGAGGCCAGAGCCTGGCACTGAGTTCAGAAAAGGGAAATGCTTGGTTGATACGGCTTCACTGTACTGGGCACGTATTATGCAGCCAGGTTCTAAGCATAGGCACCGTCTCCTGCAACCTCACAACCACTCCTTTAGACCAGGCTCAGCAAATTTTTTCTGTAAAAGGCCAGATGTTAAATATTTTTGAGTTTGTAGGCCATAAGGTTATAAGACCACAAGGTCTCTAGTGCAACCACTCAACTCCATCATTGTAGCATAAAAACAGTCATAAATATGTAAACGAGTGGGTATGACTGTTTGTTTCCAACAAAGCTTTATTTAAAAAAACAGGCAGCAGGCCAGATTTGGCCCACAGGCTGTAGTTTATTGACTCTTGCTTTAGAGGGACAGTACTATTCTCATTGGTACAAACCCATGAAGAAACTGGAAATGAACAAACAGTGTAAGTGAGTGAACCACTTGCTCAAGGTCACAAAGTTGTAGCCTGTAAGTGGCAGGGCTCGGTGTGCTTATAATCACCATCATCACTAATAATATCATCACATTATCACCATTCATCATTACCATCATCATCATTGTCATCACACATATCGTCACTATTGCCATCACCACCACTGCCATCATTAGCATCACCATCACCATCAACACCACCATGGGAGCTCCCCTTAGTCAGGGTTTACTATGTGCCAGGCTCTGGGCTCCAGGCAAAGTCAGCTCATTTACTCCTCACAGCCACCCTATGAAATAGATACTGTTATCATCCCACTTGTCAGATGAGGGCACTGAGACCCAGAGAGGTTAGGAAACTTGCCCAATATCACACAGCTAGTGAGTAGAGCAGCTCTAATTTGAATCTGGGCAATCAGGCCCCAGAGCATGCATTCCTAACCACTAGACCACACTGTCCCTCAGCCACGTCATTAAAGACTAGTACAAGAACAAAGACAGTACAAGAAGGTGCTGCAGAGGGAGTCTGAGTTAGGGAACTCTCTCTGTGATGCAGCTTTTTAATGTGCTATGAGCAATTAATAAAGGGATTAGAAGAAAATAATTCCCTAGTGAAGGTAGAGCTCCCTTCCAGCCAGATGGCTTACTGAAAAGATCTAGAATATGGCAAGGGGCATACAATGCCAACTGTGCAGGGGCAGGCTTGACATTAGACACTCGCTCTCATATACTCAGGTAAAATGCTTAGCCTTGGCAGGAAGCACTGGGCCTCAGAGAATAAAAGTGGCTCAATGGAAATCTTGCAGGCAAAGAAAGCCCATGCAGGGACTTCCCATCACAGAGGAGTTTCTAACAAAGAACTTGTTCCCCAACCAGTAGGGTGATGGTGCTTCTATTAGGTCACTAAAATGAGGGGTAGTTAATCTCTCTGTTTTCTAAATATGAAGACTACAGTTGTACTCATTTTAATATCTATGCAATTTAATTTACATGACAAACATCCCACTGAGCTACCATTTTCTCTCACCTATGAGATTGGCAAAAATCCAGAGATTTGACCCTATACTATTGGCCAGATCTAAGAAACAGCATTGCTGGGAGGAGCATCCAATGGCATAGTCCCTTTGAAGGGTATTTT